GCCAAAGTCTTTACACAGTCAGTTTCATGCGAATGGGCTCCATGGGATTCTTATCTGGGGCACAACACACTCAAACAAAACTACCGAACACCCGGCAGAAAAGCACGAATAAGTCTTTTCTGCAGGGAAAAAAGATGTCTTTTAACATGGGGCCATAGTCCAAAGGCAGCAGGCGAGCAACCAGGCTTCTCCAGTGTACAGTGGGGAGGTTGGTTTCGCCACAACGTGTATTGGTTGTATGTGATATTTGTGCTGGGTTTATTGGCTGTGTGTGATGGGTATTTAATTCAGATAAAAATATGCATTTAAGCCTATGTGTGAATGCAGGTGTATATTTTTGCATATTTTGTGTACACAGTCCCACAGTCAGATGCACAGTTATATATATACACTTGTCAAATACACCACATGCACGCAGTCGCAGAAACACACAGGTACAGGCAGTAACACACATACACAGTTGTAGGCAGACACCCACTCACACACAATTACGGGAAAACAGCCACACACACACACACAGGCAGACAGACCCACGCACACAGCCACACATACAATCTGACTTACACACACATACTTACATGCAGACAGTCACACACACATAGGCAGACAACCAAACACACAGACAGCCACACACAAACACACATGCAGACAGCCACACACACACAGAGGCAGGCAGTCACACACAGACAGCCACACACAAACACACACACACACAGGCAGACAGGCAGACAGCCACACATAGGCAGTCACACACACAGGCAGACAGTCATACACACACACAGGCAGACAGTCAAACACTCAGACAGTCACACACACAGGCAGACAATCACACACACAGTCAGACAATCACGCATAGTTACCTCTGTTCATTATTGAGGAGTGGAGGCAGTACAGCTCCTAGAGACTGGTCGTTGGGGAAGCAGAGACTCCTTCCTGCTTCCCCTGCAGCAGTTAACCGGCACTTTTAGCTCCTCCCTCACCGCAAAATTTTTGGTTTTTTTTATCCCGGCCGACCACGTGTGAGCTGTGTCGGCCGCACGGCGCAGCCTGCTCTCATGGCTCCCTGGAAACAAACAAGGGAGTAGCAACACTTGAGAGATGGAAGGCCAGAAGTTATTAACGGTAGTGATGCGTATGCGCCCAAAATGACGTAAGGTATAGCAGAAGTGGGCGTAACATTACAAGAGTGACGCTAATGATGCAGGCCCGGCTGCCCTGCGACCCGGTATGTATGCCAGTTTGCCAGCCTCTTCTCCTGGCCACCTCAGGCCCCCCCGAGGCTGGCCCTGGTGTCACCGGCGGGCTGGAAGGTGCGCAAGGGAGCATTCTCCCCTGAGCTCTCTCTGCCCAGCTCCCTCGCGTGCACCGCACGAGGGAGCTGAACAGGAGGATCTCAGTGCTTCCTCGCCGCCTGCAGGCCCGGTCGCTGGGCATCCCCACTGGACCCCAGGTAATCCCCTCAGCACTCCCAAAGGTAGGGAGGCTGGGGGATTAAATGTAAAAATATATATGAGTGTGTGTGTATATGTGTGTGTGTTAATTTTTGTGTGTCACTATGTGTGTGTGTGAGTCTGCTAGTGTGTCAGTGAGTGTGTTAGTTTTTGTGTGTGTGTTAGTTTGTGTGTGTCTGTTATTGAGTGTGTGTCTGCTAGTGAGGGTTAGTGTGTGTGTCAGTGAGTGTGTTACTGTGTGTTTCTGTTACTAAGTGTGTTAGTTTGTGTGTCTGTTAGTGAGTGTGTGTTTGTCAGTGAGGGTGTTACTGTGTGTGTCTGTTACTGAGTGTGTTAGTTTGTGTGTGTTTGTCAGTGAGAGTGTATGTTTTGTGAGTGTGTATGTCTGTCTGTCAGTGAGTGTGTATGTATGTCTGTCACTGAGTGTGTGTCTGTCAGTAAATGTGTGTATCTGTCTGTTCGTGAGAGTGTGTTGTTTTTTTTGTGTGTGTGGTTAAAACCCCTTCAGCACTTACCTTTCTCCAGGCTCCCTTGGTTCTGGGGATCTCTCTGCCCCGATCCCCCTCTCAGCTCCGAATGCGCGGACAGTTTTACATTGCTCAGAAGTACTGTACCTTGCCGAGAGTTGTCCATACGGTGTTACTCTTGTTATAGACCATTTTACTTGTCTCCTCACTTTTGAAACTTTGCTGCCTGGGCAGACCTCTTCCTAGATCTGACTACATTTTCTGGATTCTCCTTGTCTGACAATGCTAGACTACTAGTAGTAGTGGGCCATAGCCCCAATTAATTGATCAAGACACCAGATGCCAATTCTATAGCTGTCAGAAAACCACGGAGGTTGTAGTCATGATACACAGTTTGCTTTAGCTCAAATAGGAAGAGACAGAAAGCTAAAAATAGCATGAGTGTTTGCTTGTTTTACCCTCTTTACCTCTTAATTATGTTAATTTAACTTGTTTTTATGTCTACAGCATGTTTAAATATGCTGGTGACGTATTTTTTATTTATTTTTGTAAATCTTATTTTATTGAGATTTTTTTCCAAGAGACAGTAAAGAACAGAAGGAGCACGCAGGCTCCGAGAGGTTTATCAGTAATACGACAACAGACACAGGGTACTTGAAAATAAATGTTAAGCATTGAGAATATTCAGTTAAAGTATAATAAGACATGTTAACTATATGGGCTGTAATGGAAGTGCATAGCCATCAGCAATAAGCAGTGGGATTTTCGAAGAAAGATTCCTCCATTCTGGCCATGCTTACCGTATAATCAAGGTATGTCTAAAACAATACCCACTTAGTGCAGGGTCAACAGTAACCGGTTCCAGAGAACGCGTGATTGTGCAACCTACTATAATGACCCTTAGAGGTTGTGCAGATTAAGGACCCCCAACTAGTGAGCTAGTATTCACCTGCAGTGCAGCCACTTCTCCCACCGCGCAAGTATATGCATTCCGGGATTGCCTGTGTCTATATCTGGTTCAATTGCAGGGGGTATTATGGTAAGAACCTCCTTCAAGGGGTGAGGGAGTGATATTTTGCATAGAACATATTTCAGAAAAACATTCACTTGCACTGTGCCTTTAATATCTCATTATGAGGTGACTGAGAGCATGAATGGTACACAAAATATTAATAGTCGTCTGAAAAGTTAACATTCACAGAGATTTCCAGTTATAATTCAGAAAATCAATTTACTGTGTGAGCTTGAAGTTGACTTATTGTTGTGAGTTCTATTGCCTTGATTGCAGTAATTATGTAATGATTTTCTCAGGAAGCACAAGGGAATAGAAGTTAAAGATTTTATGACTTAGAGAGATATTCAGAGCTGTAACTAGAAATTGTTGGAAATTGGTTTTGAAGCAAAATTTCCTGCCATATTCCTTTTGTATTTGCCCTAAATAGTATCTTAATAACAGAAAATGGACGTTTACCCGCACAGTAAGTTTAACTACCTAAGTGCCTTTGTGTGAAATTGCACAGATGCCAGAGTTTTCATTACTTGTAAGATAGTCCATTTATAGGTTAACCATGAATGGGCAAAGCCAAATGACCTATTGTTGATATACACTGATGAACCATAACATTAGAACCACCATCCTAATATTGTGTAGGTCACCCTGCAAAAACAGCTCTGATTCATCCAAGCAAGGACTCCATGAGACCTCTGACTGGGTCCTGTGGTACCTGGCACCAAGACATTAGCAGCAGATTCTTTAAGTCCTGCAAGTTGCGAGGTGGGGCCTCCATGGATCAGATTTGTTGTTCCAGCTCATCCCACAGATTCTCAATTGGAGGCCAAGACAACACCTTGTGTTCTTTGTCATGTTCCTCAAATTGGTCCTGAACATTTTTTTCACCCCTCTACTGCCCCTGCCCCCCTCTACTGCCCTTCTATTTCCCTGTACATCCCCTGTCCCCATTATACTGCCTCTGCCCCCCCAACTGCCCCTACCCCCTTATACAGCCCTTCTATTTCCCTCTACAGCCTTCACCATACTGCCATACCGCCCCCCTATACTGCCCAACTATTTAACTCTACTGCCTCTGTTCCTCCCTCCGGGAACCCGCCGCCATGTTTTGTGGCCCCGGCCTGCGTGGCAAACCCCGGGACCGCCATTCAAGGGGCCCATCCGGTGGCCCATGCTGTTAGGGCCACCCAATGGGTATGGATTTCCAGGGGGCTCGGTCAGCGCTGCGGGACATCACACGCTGGGAGGAAGTGACTGCCCCGGTCACTCCTCCCAGCTTACACAGAGCCTGCGCAGGAGGAAGGAGAGGGAGTAAGAGTGGGAACTCTGACTCCCATCAACCTGAGCCACCACTGGACCCCAGGGAAAGTTACCCTCCTGCACCTAAAAGGTAGGAAACCAGAAGGTGTCTGTGTTCGTTTGTGTGTGTGTGTGTGTGTCTGTATGTGTGTGTGTGTCTGTACTGACTGTGTGCCTGTATGACTGTGTTTGTTTGATTGTGTGCCTGCATATTTCTGTGACTGTGTGACTGTATATGCGTGTTGCTATATATCTATGTCTATATGGCTTGGGAGGGAAAAGATACACAAAGGGCCCTGAGGGGAAGAGGGACACACACAAAAAACAGGCTGAGGGGAGAGACCCACAGAAAAGGGCTGTGGGAAAGAAAGGGACACACAAGGGGCTGGAAGGGAAAAGAGATACACAAGGGGCGTTGTAAGAGACATACAAGGGGGTGTAAGACACACTAAAGGGGGGAACAATGCACTGAATGGGGTAAGAATTTCAAAACGGTGGATACAAGACACCGCTGAAGATGCATTATATTTGTGGGAGGGGGAGGGCAGAAAGGGCGGCAAAATTAATCTTCGTCTGTGTAGTCAAAAATCCTTGCACGGCCTATTTGGTAGGTAGTGCAACCCGGGAACAACCCACAAGACTTGCAGTTTAGAAGATGCTCTGATACAGACGTCTAGCCGTCACTATTTGTCCCTTGTCATAGTAGCCACTGTACACTGTGTACGGACATAACCGTATAGGACACCAGAGGCGGCCACTCCCATGGAAGAACCGTTAGGCACACTGCATGAGGTGAATCCTATCCAGGCCGCCTCCGATAACCGGCAAGGACACCGCCAGGAGGTACATATGGAGGGGAGAAAGGTACAAGGACTTCGTGACTCTGGGGCTACCTTAACTATAGTCCGGAGTCATCTAGTACCAAAACCCAATCTAACTGGAGACAGTGTTGCTGTACGGGTGGCAGGGGGAGCGATTTACAAGGTACCTACGGCCAAGGTGCACTTGAATTGGGGAGCGGGGCACGGGAATGTATATGTGGGGATGATGCAGGACTTGCCAGCATATGTGATTTTGGGCAACGACTTGGGGGAGCTGACTTAAGCATTTGTTCCTCAGCCCACCATACAGGAAGCTTACCCAGTTGTGACCCAGCAACAGGCCCGCACCACAGCATCGCCTAACCACTCTGAGGCTCAGGTAAGCAATGACCCCCACCCCATGCCCACTGTCATGCCATGGGCGAACCCCCTAGAGTTTGGGTCGGAAGAGGCCTTAGACCCCTCCCTACAGGTATACAAAGACCGTATAGATAAAGATCAGGCAGGATTAGATGGGGAAAGGTATATCTGGGAAAAAGGACTACTGTACCAACATGCAGAAAAAGTAGTGTTCGGATCCATACCTTTACTCATTAAACAACTAATAGTGCCTCGAAAATATAGGTTAGAACTATTGCGTATCACCTATGATATTCCCCTGTCTGGGCACTTAGGAATCAGCCGTACGAAACACAGGCTGACCCAAAACTTCTTTTGGCCAGGTATATCACAGGACGTTAAACGATATTGCCAGACCTATGATACCTGCCAAAGAGTAGGGAAGAGGGGAGACCGATACAAAGCTCGTCTTCGGTCTCTGCCCATAATTGAGGAACCCTTCAGTAGGGTGGCGGTAGATATCATAGTACCTTTAGCAAAGATCAGCCCGTCCGGCAAGAAATATGTCTTGACCGTGGTGGATTACACCACCAGATACCCTGAGGCAGTAGCTTTAACCAATGTACATGCCGAAACGGTAGCAGAGGCCCTGATGCGATTATTCGCCCGGGTAGGATTCCCCTGGGAGATTATTTCGGATAGGGGCACTCAGTTTACCGCTGAAGTAACGCATCAGCTCTAGAAGATATGTGGGGTACAGCAAATCTTGAACTCCGCTTATCACCCCCAATCCAATGGGCTCTGTGAACGGTTTAATGGAACAGATAATCCGTACTTTCATAGATACTCAGAAAGACTGGGAAAACCCAATCTAACTGGAGACAGTGTTGCTGTACGGGTGGCAGGGGGAGCGATTTACAAGGTACCTACGGCCAAGGTGCACTTGAATTGGGGAGCGGGGCACGGGAATGTATATGTGGGGATGATGCAGGACTTGCCAGCATATGTGATTTTGGGCAACGACTTGGGGGAGCTGACTTAAGCATTTGTTCCTCAGCCCACCATACAGGAAGCTTACCCAGTTGTGACCCAGCAACAGGCCCGCACCACAGCATCGCCTAACCACTCTGAGGCTCAGGTAAGCAATGACCCCCACCCCATGCCCACTGTCATGCCATGGGCGAACCCCCTAGAGTTTGGGTCGGAAGAGGCCTTAGACCCCTCCCTACAGGTATACAAAGACCGTATAGATAAAGATCAGGCAGGATTAGATGGGGAAAGGTATATCTGGGAAAAAGGACTACTGTACCAACATGCAGAAAAAGTAGTGTTCGGATCCATACCTTTACTCATTAAACAACTAATAGTGCCTCGAAAATATAGGTTAGAACTATTGCGTATCACCTATGATATTCCCCTGTCTGGGCACTTAGGAATCAGCCGTACGAAACACAGGCTGACCCAAAACTTCTTTTGGCCAGGTATATCACAGGACGTTAAACGATATTGCCAGACCTATGATACCTGCCAAAGAGTAGGGAAGAGGGGAGACCGATACAAAGCTCGTCTTCGGTCTCTGCCCATAATTGAGGAACCCTTCAGTAGGGTGGCGGTAGATATCATAGTACCTTTAGCAAAGATCAGCCCGTCCGGCAAGAAATATGTCTTGACCGTGGTGGATTACACCACCAGATACCCTGAGGCAGTAGCTTTAACCAATGTACATGCCGAAACGGTAGCAGAGGCCCTGATGCGATTATTCGCCCGGGTAGGATTCCCCTGGGAGATTATTTCGGATAGGGGCACTCAGTTTACCGCTGAAGTAACGCATCAGCTCTAGAAGATATGTGGGGTACAGCAAATCTTGAACTCCGCTTATCACCCCCAATCCAATGGGCTCTGTGAACGGTTTAATGGAACACTTAAACAGATAATCCGTACTTTCATAGATACTCAGAAAGACTGGGAAAGATTTTTACCCCACTTATTGTTTGCCTATAGGGAAGTACCCCAAGAATCCACCGGGTTCTCTCCATTCGAATTGTTATTCGGGAGGAGAGTGAGGGGCCCCCTTGACTTAATACGGGAACACTGGGAGGGAGAAGAGACCATTAACGGCACCCCTATGTGCTGGAATTCAGGGAACGCCTGGAGATGCTGACCCAGACCGTCAGAGACAATCTCCAGGTAGCCCAGCAACGACAGCGCAGATGGTATGATAAGGGAGCCAGGGACCGCAGCTTTCAGGTGGGGCAAAAGGTTCTTATTCTGCGACCAGTCCACAAAGATAAGCTGCAGGCTTCCTGGCAGGGCCCATACAAGGTGGTAGAACAGACCTGTGATACCACCTATGTGATCGGCCCGGTCACAGGCGCGGGAGGCAAACGCCTGCTCAATGTGAACATGCTCACGCCATACCACGAGCGCACCGAAGAGGTGATCCCGATCTGTGCCCCTGCCGCTGAGGATTTTGATAATCTACCTCTCCCAGATCTCCTAGACCAGGAGGGCCAGAGCGGAGACCTGGGAGAAGTACAGTAGGAGAGCGATTAAACTCCCAGGAGCGAACCCAGGTACAAAAATTAATCCAGGAAAAGGGAGCCAAGTTTTCTAATCTACCTGGCTATACCCCTTTAGCAACGCACAAGGTAGAAACCCTAGATCAGACCCCCCTTCGCCAAACTCCTTACCGCATACCAGAAGCCGTCAAAGAAAGTATACGGAAGGAGATTGAGGAAATGCTCCAGTTAGGGGTGATCGCACACTCTGACAGCCCCTGGGCCTCCCCAGTAGTACTAGTACTAGACGACCCATTTCTGTGTAGACTACCGGAGGCTCAACGATAAAACGATCTCAGACGCCTACCCCATGCCACGGATAGACGAGCTCCTGGACAAAATGGCCAGGGGCCAGTACGTCACCACGATAGATCTGTGTAAGGGGTACTGGCAAATTCCGCTAGCAGAGGACGCTATCCCTAAGTTGGCATTTGTCACCCCGTTTGGCCTGTATCAGTTTAAGGTCATGCCATTCGGGATGAAAAATGCCCCGGCTACCTTCCAGAGGATGGTAGATCAGTTATTGGATGGGTTCCAGGAGTATGCATGCGCATATCTAGATGATATCGCCATTTTCAGCTGCTCCTGGCCCGAGCATCTGACCCACATAGGAGCCGTACTAGACCAGATCAGGGGAGCCGGACTGACCCTAAAACCCAGCAAATGCCATGGCAGAGGTCCAGTACCTAGGGCACAGGGTAGGAAGCGGTCAGCAGAAGCCAGAACCTGCTAAAATAGAGGCAGTCGCCAAGTGGCCAACCCCTCGCACCAAGACCCAAGTACTCGCCTTCTTGGGGACCGCAGGGTACTACCAGAAATTTGTGGCCAACTACAGCGCCCTAGCCAAACCTCTCACTGATTTGACCCGTAAGAATCTCCCTAAGATTGGCCCCAGAGTGTGAATAGGCATTTCAACAGCTCAAGACGGCGCTTGTTAACTCACCTGTACTTTCTGCTCCTGATCCAACTAAACGTTTTCTCATCCATACAGACGCTTCTATGTTTGGATTGGGAGCAGTACTGAGTCGGAGCGGATGGCGGCGAACACACCACCATCGAAAAAGAGGGCGCTGCAGCCGTTTGACTTTACCATTCACTATCGCCCTGGGAAGCAGAATGGCAACGCCGATGGGTTATCCCGACAAACAGACCTGGAACCGTGATCGCTCCTCCGGACATCCCCAAGCCGATCCATTAGGATCAGACTGTGTATGCCAGCTTGGTTCTGGGGGAGCATTGTGGCAAAACTAGCCACTTAAGACTAGCCATATTGAATGTGTGTGTATCCCTGTTTCAGCTGTGAGAACCAAGTGTATTAATGTATGTGTCCTTCAGACGAATGAGGGCGTTCGTTTGCTTACAGTATGGAAAACACCGCTTTCCTAATGTAGTTTCACGAACAGTGAGTTTCAACACTGTTCGTGAAACGAATAAACTATCGAATGGTCGACCACACACATTGTTGCAATCGGTAGTTAAAGGCTTCCCTGGGTGGCCGCCGTTCGACTACTTCATGAAGGGTAGAACAAGTCTGTTTAATGGAAGCCAAAGCTGGCCTTTTATGCAAGTTGGACCTTGTTGGGCACAGGGACCATGGGCGTAGGAACCGGCGGGGATGGGGGGGACGCATGCCCCCCAGCAAATCATGCGGGGGGGACAGGATATGCGGAAATCCCCGCCGCCCCCCCCCATGCTGCAGCCGCCCGAGCGCTCTGTAGAGAGCCTCAGGCGGCTGAAGCTTTGCCCGGGCGGTGCGTCCATGAGGGCGGACCGCACCGCCCGGGCGCAGCCTGAGGAGAGGGGCTGACAGGAGGGAAACGCTCAGTGCTCCCTCCTGTCACTCCCTCTGTGTAGCGTGGCCGAGCCCAGTATAGTCTGAGTGTGCACTTCCTGTTAGTCCGGCCAGGCACAGGAAACAAAAGCTCCCTGTACCCGCGGACTATACTGGGCTCGGCCACACTACAACTGAGGGAGGGGGAGAAAGAGTGACAAGGGAGGGAGGGGGAGAGATTGACATCCATCACACACACACACACACACAATGCATTCCTTACACACACTAAATGCACCCCGTACACACACTCAATGCACCCCTTACAGACGCGCACACACACTGCATCCCGTACATACACAGAAACACACCTTGCAGCCCTTACACATACAAACACCAATTCACACAATGCATTCCTTACACCCAGTCCTCAAGGCACACCTACCAGTCCAGGATTTAGGGATTACCCAGTTGTGTCTAAGGTGTTTTTACAAAGGTGTTTTTACAAATCCCTA